CCCCTTTTTATCCGGCTCATGCATGCGTCTGGTCTGTACTATCTTGAGCGACTGATGTTTTTGATGATATTCTTCCTTGGAGCTGCGAATATGAAATAATCGTTTCCTGTGCTCAATCATCGATCACTCGCTCTGCGCTTTCTGGGGCTTTTGCACACTGGGCTTCCTGACAGTGGTCATACCAGCACACCAGGTGAAGTGCATAAACGGCTTGCTGTATCGCTTGTCCCTGTCAAAACTGCTATTGTGTATAGATAAGAGTGGGAGCCACGTCAGTCTGTCGCTCTACTAGTCTGCTCCTCTCGTTGCAAATTAATGTTTTCTTCTCGTTTCCTAGTTATACTGGTTGTCTTTGTTTATTAGCCCTACCATATTTCTTACTGCTGGCTGAGCAGACACCATGGGTTTTGTAAATTGGTGTCGTGGCTTCCAAGTAGTCCTTTTACTCGAAGTGGGTGGAATGATGAGGATTATATGTATATAAGGTACGAATTGAAACGATCATTCGAGTGGACGTAACTTCTAAGCCCACTTGCAGGCTGCAAGTCTAGTTTGTAGAAGCCCTGCCCCATGATGAAAACGATGACCACCCCCCAAAACTCCGTGACGCGCATGCCCCATAACAAATCGGATTCTTTTTCTTTTTGGTTCCTTCGCATCCCGGCCCTCGAGCATCTTGCCGAACATACGTTCAGCGAGCAGCAGCCAGCGATGAGTGGCGATAAGCCGATCATCACCAGACTTTATCGTGTGTGTGTCCTGCCACGCGTGAGGTATCTGGTCCGGTGCGTTCGTTCCCTTTTCATTCTCCACGATCCCCTTTTGCCCTTCACGAACCCTCGAGGATCAGGCGTGCCCGGTCGACTTTTTCCCATCCTTCCTTCCTTCCTTCCTTCCTTCCTTCCCTCCCACCAACCCTCTTCCATACCCCCTCGCTCTCACTCTTTCTTCCCTCCTCCTCTCCCTCCATCCATTTTTTTCCCCTTCTTCCCTTTTGCGCTCCCCATCCATCCATCCATCAATCAACATCAAATCAATCACAGCTCGCGCAGCCCGCGCAGCCGCAGCTGACGCACTGGATGACGTGGTCCTCCTTGAGCTGGTCGCGCGGCACGCGGCAGATGCAGGTGCTGTTGAAGTTCGTCTCCTTGGTCTGGATGCAGCGCAGGCAGCACAGGTGCTCGTAGCCCGTCTTCTTCCACTTGGCGATGAGGTTCGCGTCCGCCTTGCCGTTCTTGAGGCACCAGTCGTACAGCGCCTTGCTGATCTTCTCGTCGTTGTAGAGGTCCCAGATGTAGCGGGAGCCTGTGGTTTGTTTTTTTTTTCGTGTTAGTAAAGAGAGGTTTTGTTTAATCGGTTGGTTCGGGGAAACCAAAAAAAAAAAAAAACGTACGTTTGTGGGTGATTTCGAAAATGGGCCATTGCACCTCTTGCCGCTTCTTGCCCTCGTGCGTCGCGTTCAGTGCGTCTTTCATGGCGTTGTCGTACTCGAGGAGCGTGTCTTCGATGTCCTCGTAGCCCTCCGGCGGCGCCTTCTTGCGGCCGTATCCCTTGCTTGTGCGGACGACGGGCATGGTCGGTCGGTCGGTTGTTGAGATGGGGCTGAGATGGGAGCGGGGATGCGCGAGCGGAGAAGACGCAGCAGCTGCTGAAACGCGACGGTGGGTTGTCGTTCGGCGGTGGTTCGACGGAGAGAGCGAGAGGCGAAAGTTGCGGGAGAAAAGGACGCGCGCGCGCACAGAGAATCAGTTGTTGTCTTTTTTTTTTTTTTTGCGAGTCTGTTAGCGGCTGCGATCTCAGTGGAGGCCGAGCTGGTGGTCGTGGTCGTTGCGACGGTACTTACGTGGGGAAGCAGGAACAGTGCACGCGCGCGGGCGGAGCAAGTCGTGGCTGATATATTCTTGCTGACAACATCAGAGGGGCGACCGCACGTGATCTGGACCCGTACCTCGCCCTTCCGGCATCCGACCAACCGTCGGTTTCGAGACGAGAAGCGGGCTGCTACTTCGCGATTGACCTCACCCTACCCACCCCCGCAACCTCGCCGAATCTCCACTCCACCCCGCCGACCCGGCCGTCATGATCAACCCTACCTTCCTCGCCCAGAAGACGCGGTCCTGTACGGATGCTTTTCCCCCCCGGACGCCCTGTGAGAGGTGACTTATCGCTGACCTGCGACGACGCATTGCGAGAACAGCCGCCAACTGGCCCGATGCCAAGCGCCGAGTGCTGAAGGCCTACCGCGAGTGGCTGCGTGCCGTACGTCGTCCTTCGATCCCCCGTTGATCGCGTGTCCTGGGCCAGGACGGCTGAGTGCTGTGGATTGGGAATTGGAAGGGCTGATTCGCGTCGCGAGGACAAACAGGCTCCGGAGATCCAGAAGATGTACATGCTCAACATCCCCGTCTCCCAGATCCGCACAAAGGCCCGCCAGGAGTTCGAGCGCCACAGATACGTCCAGCAGCTGCAGACCGTCGACGTCCTGCTGCAGCAGTCGAATGCCGAGTTCCAGGTACGATTGATACCCGGCTGCGAGAAGAGAGAGCTGCAGAGGGACAGGCTTTCCCCAGGCCATTGGAGGCTGACGTTGCCGTTGCGCATTGCAGGAGACGCTCAACTACTGGAAGCAGCTGTCGCACGTTCTGAAGTACTTCAAGGTCGAGGAGGAGCCCAAGCACAAGCTGCCCAACAACTTCGTTACGGGATTCCTGGAGGTTAGTTCAGCCGGCGCGGACTTTAAAACGGCTACATTGAGAAGATGTGGAGAACTAATGCTTTATATCTACCACAGGGTCGCAACTAGATTTCCCTGTTCCCGCCTCGAAGCGTGTACAAATGCCAATACCAAGTTTGCTCTTTTCCTTCCGCCGCTCCTGGTGCCGTAGCACTCGGGCAGCCTCTCTACCCTCACGCCAGAACGCCGTGCAATGCTTTAAAGACTTTTCCGGGGCCGCCGACTCAGCGAGTGTGGGGACGGCCTCACTTGCGCGCATTGAACTCGTCACGCGAGACGGTGAACTTGTCTATGACGACATCGCAGAGCTCGGCCAAATCGTCCAGGCCCTTCTCCAACACGTCGTAAACGCTGACATCGTCTGCCTCATCCGTCAGCCTGCAGTTGCTTTGCGTGGTGTTGCGTGCTTGTACTGACCGTATGTTTGGATGCGGAGGTTCATCTTGGGCTCGGAGGGGTGAGGGATGGAGTAACCGCAGAACTCGACGGCGGGGCTGCAGGTAGACGTCAGTAGACTGCTGGAATCGAGTTTGCGCCTGGCGTGCTCCGTACTTCTTCATGATGATGTAGCGCAGGGCGTTGCCCAGGGTGTGGTCCTCGTTCTCGAACTCAAAAGACGCGGCCGTGTTCTCGGATCCGGGCAGCTGCGTTGCGCATCAGCTCTGCATCTTCGAAGCACCCTCAGCGGGACGCGGTGTTGGGTGCGTGCGACATACCACGCGGATGCGCTGCTTCTCCTCGACCTCCTCCGCCTCGACGCCGTTCGCCTGGGTGAAGCCGTTGACAGGGGCGTCCTGCATTTCCTCATCGTGCGACGACATGGCGGGCGGTGTGATGCTTCGGTAGGGCGGGAATTTGCGCGAATTGGTAGCTGGCTTAAGGAAGTCGAGGCGGCGGGCAAAACTTGCGGCGGAGAACGGAGATTTAAAGTTATCTTATCGGCCGATCAGCGAGAAACATCCCCGCCGCCCAATCGCAGCGCCGCTAACTCTCCACCTTTCACCCTTCACTCATTTTCACCGCCGATACCTTTTTACCCCGGATTATTAGGGTACCTTAAGTGAGTGCTTGCCGCGGGTTAGCAGATGGAAAACATAGTCTCTGGATTTACAGGATGGGAGAAGAACCATAGGGTAGCTAAACACCACATATACACACAAATCCCTTCTTTATAAACCCCAGGAGCGTAGTAAGTATGTTGCTCCCTTCCCTTTGCCTCTTCCACGCAAATAAACGCCGAATCCCAATGCTTTCAGGCCCCATATAACGCCGCCCAAATGCGTCTGTCCCACCAATCATACAATCACCACTGCCCTTGGTTTACCGCGCATCAACTTCCGCTCTCTGATCCCCGCCCTCGACGCTCTCGATCGCTTCCAGCCCCTCCAGCCCCTCCACACCCTCATCCACCACCTTCTCCCCCCTCTCCCTCCGCCTCTCCTCAATCTCCAACATGACCCTCTCCTTCGCCCTCGCCCTCGCCTCGCCCTTGACGACCGCCAGCAGCCTCAACGCCCCGTTCGGCGTCATGCCCTCGATCCTCCGCGCCTGGCCCACGCTCTCGGGCCTCGCCTGCTTCAGCAGCTGCTTCTCCTCGAAGCTCAGGCCGTGGATGGCCCCGTAGTCCAGGCCGGGCGGCAGCCGGAGGTTCTCGTCCTTGAGGAAGACGCGCATGGCCGCCATCTGCTGCTCGACGTACGGGGCGTACACGCCCTCGATGCCGACGCGCTCGCGCACCTTGGGATCGAAGTCGCGGACGCGCGGCACGACGGCCTCGAGCGACGCCGTCGTCACGCCCGCGAGGCGGAGCAGGTCGAAGGCGGAGCGCCTGGTCGTGTCCTCGCGCACGCGGAAGCCGCGCGCGAGCCAGTGGCCCGAGCCGGCCGTCTCCCCCTTCAGGAGCGCCGTCAGCTCCGCCATCTGGCGCGACGTGTCCTCGAAGGCGCGCCAGCGCCGGTCCGACACGACGCCCGCGGCGCGGCCCTTGGCCGTGAGCCGGGCGTCGGCGTTGTCGGCGCGGGCGCTCATGCGGAACTCGCTGCGCGAGGTGAACATGCGGTACGGCTCGGTGACGCCCTTGGTGATGAGGTCGTCGATCATGATGCCGATGTAGCCGTCGGCGCGCGTGAGCGTGAAGGGCGGCTTGCCCTGCGCCGCCAGGCCGGCGTTGATGCCCGCGATGACGCCCTGGCCGGCGGCTTCTTCGTAGCCGGTGGTGCCGTTGATCTGGCCGGCCAGAAAAAGGCCCTTGATGTTCTTGGTCTCCAGCGTCGAGCGGAGGTTGCGTGGGTCCACGTAGTCGTATTCGACGCCGTACCCAGGCTGCAGCATGGTGACGTTTTCCAGACCCTTGATCGTCCGCAGCATGGCTGCCTGCGCGTCCGCCGGTATGGTCATGGATATGCCGTTGGGGTATACCACGTCCGTGTCGAAGCCTTCGGGTTCCAGCCAGATGATATGTCTCTCCTTGTGCCCGAAGCGCAAGACTTTCGATTCCAGCGAGGGGCAATACCGTGGTCCCTTCACCGTTTCCCTGATGTGAATGCTCTTGTCCAGGTTCGCGCGGATGATATCATGGGTCGCCTCATTCGTATACGTGCTGTGACACAAGAGCTGGTCTTCGACCTGCACCCTGTCATTCAGGTAGCTGAACGGCATCGGCGGCTCGTCGCCCGGCTGCGGCTCCAGTCCCGAGTAATCGATCGTCTTGTGGTCCAACCGGGGCGGCGTGCCCGTCTTCAACCGTCCCAGCTTGAACCCCGCCTCCCGCAGCGACTTGCTGAGGCCGAAGGTCGCAGCCTCGCCCATCCTCCCAGAAGGATACGCCTCGAGACCTAGGTCACCAGTCAGTCAGTTGCCGACATCACCACCACCTCTCTCACTCCACACCCCCAAGCCGGGCGTGGCGTGGCGTGCTCATTTCACCCACCGATATGAATCTCCCCGCCCAAAAACGTCCCCGTCGTGATGACCACACACCCCGCATCCAACACCCTCCCATCCTCCAACCTCACGCCCTTGATCCGCCCAAACGCCCCCTCCCCCCCGTCCGCCCCCACTCCCTCCCCCCTCTCCACCACCACATCCGCCACACTCCCCTCCACCACCCCCAACCTCCCCTCCCCAGCATACCCCACAACAATCTCCTCCCGCATATACCTCCGATACAACCCGCGATCGATCTGCGCGCGAGGGCCCCAAACCGCCGGCCCCTTTTTGCGATTGAGGACGCGGAACTGGACGGCCGCGCGGTCGACGACGCGGCCGACGAGGCCGTCGAGCGCGTCGACCTCGCGCAGCATCGTGCCCTTGCCGATGCCGCCGAACGACGGGTTGCACGAGCAGACGCCGAGGTTGGCGAGCGCGGGCGTGACGAGCGCGGTGCGCGCGCCCGAGCGCGCGGCGGCCGCGGCGGCTTCGGTGCCCGCGTGGCCGCCGCCGATGACGATGACGTCGTAGGTTGGGTTGCTGGTGGTGGGTGGGAGGGGGTTGAGGGTTAGCCTTGTTTGTTTTGTTTGGCAGTTGGTGTGGTCGTTGGTTTCCGTCGTTCGTTTTTTTTTTTTTTTTTTAATGTGCAATGGAGTGCGAGGGTGGGAGGAATTGGTCGCGAATTATGCCGCAAGGGAACAGTTAAACATACCCAGTCTCGCTGGAGATGGTGGCGAAGGTCCTGGAGAGCGCGCTTCGCCGGGCGAGCGGCGCGGCGAGCCTCAAGCGAGGGGCGTAGGCCCAACGCGCTCGGAGAGCGAACGACATGATTGTCGTGGCGGAGGTCTTGTCGTGGAGAAGTGAAGAGGCGCTGAAGTCGCGATTTCGGGATGGCAATGGGAAACATTTGGGGCCGGGAGAACTGCGGCATGCTCTGATAACGAGTTGATTAAGCCTATCTATTGGCCAGCACGGGCGTTATGCTATTGGCTCCTTGCTCGCCGCATCAAACCTCCATGTTCGATTCGCCAATATTGTCCTGACGGAGAAAGTCCTCGGGTTGATAGTCTGCTAGAGCGGTTGGCTTACTGGATATTCATTCTTTCGCACCGGAAACAGCCCTGTGCCGTCTCGCAGAAGCAGCAAAACTCACGACCATCTCTTCCGCGACCGCCGTCCAGAACCCCCATCCTCCAAGTTGAAGTACGGAAGGCACGCAGGGCCTCATCCGCAGTTTGATGCGTTTCATCGTGCCTGCCCCTCCCCAAAACAGGCACTGGCAAACGTTCAATGGAAAGCATATTATAAAGCCACGAATGAAAGAAGCGTCGGCAATGCTGCGGCTATCCAGTCTTCTACATTGAAGTAAACTGATCTCTTTGTACTGTGTGGGAAGGGCGATAAGCTGATAATGACGCAAATGGAAAGTTTTTGTTGAAGGATAACGGAAGGTAGTAGCAGTATGAACGGCGATGGGAAAAGCTTCGGCTAGACGAAAGGAAGAGGGATTGTGTCGTGAGACCCTCCTTGATGCAAATTAGGAAAATACTGAAAAAAAAAATCATACTCCAAACCTCAATCCGTTCGGCTCATACAAATTTTGCTATCCCGCGAGAAACCGCACGCTATGATCTCATTCACCCATCAAATCCTCTTTTGCTGATCCTTCCTTGCATGAACGAGGACCTAGGAAAAAACTATAACAAAGATAACCGCAGAGCATTACGCCCTGTGTTAACTTGTCTCCCAAAGAAGGAATTACAAAAGTGACCATCGATTACCATCGTTCCTCACAGCTGTATCATGGATTGACGTCACCGCTCCCATCAGCAATCGCCAGACGCTGCTTCAAGGTCTTCGCCTTTTTGCTCACACCCTTACCCTTCTTCTTGGTAGGCACCTCGCTTACCGGAGTTGCCGCGCCAGACGGCTTCGCGCTTCCGTCATCGAAGTTGCCCTCGCCTGCAGTCATCGTTAGCCTCTCTTTTTGATATGCTTCGTCCATAAACTCACCTTCATGGTACATGTCATCCAGATTCACCTCCGCCTTCTTCTTCGCTGGAGCCTTCCTCTTCTTGGCGGGTGCGATTGCCTCCGCAGCAGCCATTTCTGCCTCCTTGCGCTCAATCATCTCGGCCTGGTCATCATCGGCAAGCCACATGGCAATGTCCTTGGTACGGTTCTCGCGCGAGCGTGTGTTGAAGTCAACTTGGGCACCTGCTCCGCCAGAAATGACGACGCGCTGCACCTCTTCCTTCTGCAGCGCACGCTTGCGAATCCGTTCTTCGATGGTACCGCGAGTGATGAGACGATAGACTGTAACCTGCTTGGTCTGACCGAGACGATGGGCGCGATCCATGGCCTGCGAATCGATGGTGGGGTTCCAGTCAGAGTCGTAGAAGATGACCGTGTCAGCCGAGGTCAGGTTGATTCCAAGACCACCAGCGCGGGTCGAGAGGAGGAACACGAAGATCTCTGGTCGGGTCTGGAAGTCGGCAACGGTATCGCGACGATCTTCCAGCTTTGTCGAACCATCGAGACGACAGTACTTGTAGTTGCGGTAGGTCAGATACTCCTCCATCAAGTCGATCATACGAGTCATCTGGAAGTACAACAGCACACGGTGGCCTTCTTCTTTCAGCTTCCTCAAAAGCTTGTCGAGCATCGCAAGCTTGCCAGAATCCGTAACGAAACGTCTCATCGACGGGACCGTGATGTGCGTGTATTTCGATCGGGAGCTGGCAGGCGGAGGGAGCGTGCCCGTCAACGGGAAGTCGACCGGGTTCGTCTTGGTCTCCAAAAGCGCCTCTTCAGCCCTTCCACTGATGCCGGACAAGGCCGACCTGATGCGAGGGTTGAAAATGGTCTTCTCCTGCTCATAGAGAAGACTCTGGCTGGAGTAGTAGAGATCGATAGGCGGCGCGGAAGCACCGGGCTTAGATGCAAGCTCAATGATGCTTAGCCCAGTGTCGTCGTAAGCGTCTTTCGAGACGTTTAGTAAACTTGACATGACACCTTCGCTGGTGATCTCCGCGAGGGGCAAACGATCGTTCTGCTCAACGATGTTGAAGAGTGCATGCGCAGGCACGTAAACCTGACCATCGTCCTCATCGTATGCGACCTTGAACCGTCCAAGATGACGCTGTTTCTTCTCGATGTCCACAGCCCGTTGGAAGACGTCTTCCCACGCCGCCGATGCCGCCTCTTCGGGCGAGGTATCCACAAACCTGAGGAAGGAGAAGGCGCCATTGGAGCGTGAGCTCTGAAGAGAATTGTCCGGCGTCCAGATATTCATCAGGCGCCCCAAGTATTTCCCTCTCCATCCTGCTTGGGCATTGTCTGGACCCGCAACATCAAGTCGTCCACTGCCGTGGCCGATGACCCGTGGTACGCGATATTCTATGAGGTTACGGCTAGAGTACGCGACTTCTACCCTGTAACCCTCGCGCATGAACGATGCCGTCTCGGCAAAAGAAGAAAACGCAAAAGGAGAGTGCGTTTCGGCACGCTCGAAAAGATCCGGGTGGTTGCAGACTTTCCTGAACTGCATGACAAGGTTCATCAGGGTCGCAGTGTCCTGATCATCACCCACTGCCGCTCTTTCAATCAGATCCATGATGCTGATCTTATTGCGCAGGTTCGAGTAGTATGCGCGTTGTCTGTATGTCAGATCGCAGAAGACGTCCTCCTCGATCTTGTCGCCGAGTTCCTTCTGGACATGCTTCTTGATACGCCGCAGCATGAAAGGCTTCAGGATCATGTGGAGACGCTTCAATTGATCCTCGTTGAGCTTAGTGTTGCTCTGCGCGTGACTCTCAATGTCCTTGGAGAACCAGTCGCTGAACTCGTCATGGGAATCGAACAGACTTGGCATGATGAAATGCAACAAAGCCCACAACTCCTGCATGTTGTTTTGGATCGGAGTACCAGTCAACAGCAGACGATTGCGGCAATGGAAACCAAGCAAACTCTTCCACCTAGAGCTTTGCGAGGACTTGATGGCCTGAGCTTCGTCGAGGATCATGTACTGCCAACGGATCTTTTGGAAATACTGTGCATCCTGGACAACCAACTGATATGATGTGACCAGGACATGGAACGGCGACTCTTTCCTGTAGGTGATGTGCTTCCGATCCCAGAACTTACGGAGGACCTTGCGGTCCTTGGCGTTACCCCAGTAGGGCAAGGTTTTAAGGTCCGGAACAAATTTGGTGATTTCCTGCTGCCAGTTGTGTAGAGTCGATGCAGGCGCAATGACCAAGAAAGGGCCCCAAATATTGTGAACTTCGGCCAGATAAGCCATGACCGAGATCGACTGTACTGTCTTGCCAAGACCCATTTCGTCTGCCAAGATGCCGTTGATGCCTTGCTCGTAGAGGTTCACCAACCAGTTGAGACCCTTCAGCTGGTATTCCTTCAGCTGACAAGACAACATCTTGGGCTGGGGAATGTCCAGACTCTGCAAACTCGTGGGGTTCTGGAAGTTCATTTCTTCGTTGTCGTCGAATTGGGACTGAGCACTTTCAGTGCCTTGATTGAACGCTTTTGCGCGATCTTGCGCCTCTTGAACGGCATTTTGGGCGTTTGCCATAGCAGCCGCCTGGAGGGCAGATTCGTCTTCAGCATCGAAGTCCAGATCATCGAAATTGGTGACCTTGGTTCCAAGATTGGCGTTGCTGGAGGGCAAGTTGACCGTGTGAGCATCCGGCTCGCCCGGCTTGACGGTGGCCTTCGAAACGTCGACATCATCGGTTGATCGTTCGACTTCATCAGTCTTGACCTTCTTCCCAATGAAGTGAGAGTACAGTTCGGTCTGCGAAATCAAGAAGTTCAACTTCCTCTTCTGTCTGTTGGCTTCGCGTTCCGCTTCAGCCTTCTTGGCATTCTCAAGCTCCTGTCTCTCGGCCATCTTTCTCTGGTCACGCTCGTCCCTTTCGTTCCTCTTCCAGAAAGAGAGCATTTCTCTCATGCTTCTCTTGGCGCGAGCCTGGACGTCCTTCATACTCTTGTTCGTCCTCAGTTGCCATCTGCGAGCTTCCTTGGACGCAAGCTGGGCAGTCTTTCGGAGATTGGACTGCTTCGTCGCCAAGGAATTATCCTTGATTCGAACGACCTTCGGAATGTCCTTGCGGGCAAGATCCTTCCAGATGGTGTCGTACAGCTTGTGGTATTCCCTGGACTCGAATGGAGCGAAGACGGTGGGAACACTCGCGGGCGGGCTTGACTCCTCGGTGAAGCTGCGCTCCCTCTTCAAAGCTTCCAACCGTAATTCTTCTCGGGGAGCAATTGCCGGAAGCTCATCCCCACGATCCAGTGCCAGTTGAGCGGCGGCAGCGGCATCCTTCTCTGCTTGCTTCTGCTCCTTGCTCTTTCTCGGACGGGCACCAGATCTGCCCTTGGCCTTCCTTCCATCCTTAGAAGTATCCTCAGACATTTGGAACGTCGTCATTGTGCCACCCTCCATGTTGGGCGCGTGAGGAGTGACCTCGCGGATATCGGCGTTAGGTGTGCCTCCCTGCAACAAGCGGTTCGTGTTCTTGGCTTTCAGCTCAGCCTTCTCCGCTTCGTGGATCCATTTTCTTGCCTCTTCTTCGTCTGCGGCATTCTCAGCCTTGGCCAGTGCCTCGTCGCGTTTCTGGAACTCATTCTGCAGAGTCTTCTCACGCCTCCGCTTTCGCTGCATGTCCTTCTTCCGCTCTTTCTCGTCCGCGATCTCACGGGCTTGGACCTCTTGCCAGGCCTCTCCCTCATGTTGCGCGAAATAGTGAATCTTGGCGCTTGCGGCGTGGGTTGCAAATGAGTCTTGCAATCTCTTTACTTGAGCAGTCCGTCGACGCTGGAAAGAGTCAGTAAATGGTTTAGCGACCGATCATCACGGGCATACCTTGCGCGTAGCGGCTTCCTTGTCATCGATCTCACGATGTTTCCTCTTGCGACGCTGCATGTAGTCTTCCCTAAACATCTCCTGTCCAGGCAGTTCGACATCGCTGATATCCATGTTCTCTATCTTCGCATACTCGGCATCTACCACTCTCGGGTCAACCTCCTCGATGTTTCCCGCAATGGGGCGTAGAGGTTCCGAGGTGCCATTGACGAACGAGTGCTCGGGGCTGTGGTTGAGTGAGTGTGATCTCGCATCAGCGGGGATCGGCAATGGGGCAGCACGTTCTTCTTTAATGGTGACATATGACCTGGGTGGTTGAGGTGTTGAGGATGGGTAGGACGGGGTTGCCGGGGCGGGTGCGGGATCCGAGCCGGACATGATGCTCGATAACGACATTGGATCGGCGCGAGCAGGAGTCTAACGGAGTCAGTCAGGCCAGGCGGGAGGTTACGAGCAGCATGGACTCACCTCTGCGGACGGGCGCCTGGGGGTGGCGACCGGCGGGCCGGACATTATGCTACGATTGTGCTCGTGGTACAGCTTCGGCGATGGCGGCGAGTGAGGAGGGCGGTCGAGTTGATGCCCGGAGTGTGAAGACTGAGGTGGCGGGTGGGCCAGCGGTGGATGGAAGGTCGCGGCTACGGGTGAGCGATATGGGCCGCCGCCTGGTCGCGAGTCGGGGTAGCTGTAGGGCTCTCGAGGCTAACATTCATTTCGTCAGCGACGTATGCATTTCTTCGAGCTTGGCGCCCGGATCATCAGCGGCGGGTGCAATTGCATACCTGGGCGGGATAGTGGCCGTTGTAACGCGGATCGGCCCTGGCTGCAGCCGGATAGGCCTGGTCTGACGTGGGATCGTAGTATTTGGTTGTCGGCGGCGGGTCTCGCGGGTACAGGGCGGACGCGATGGGGGGCAGCGCACCCTGGGCGGGCGGCGAGGTCGGTTGGTTGTAGGACGGATGGCCAGGCAAGGGCGCAGGAGTCGACGGGTTGGAAGAGCGCGCTCGCTCGGGCGGGAAGGATGTCTGCGTTGGTGAATGCGCGGCGTGGGCTGCTTGGTGGTCCCCTGGCATCGTGTCTCGTCTGGCCTGGTCCTCGCCATCACCCAGCCTCTGCACCGCGGGCAGCATGGCGGCGGCGTTGCTCGCTCTCGTTACGCGTCTGATGCGGCGTCGAGGCTGAGGGCCATCCAGAAGCGCCGGGCGGGATTCTTACAGGCGGCGCAGGCGACGTCAGGCTGGAGACGCGAAGTCGCGGCGGAGCGCTTCGCGGCGGCGCAGACGACGACGATGCAGCACGGGTGGTGGTGGTGGTGCGCAGGCGAGCTGCGATGGCGGCTGCGCAGGCGTGGCGTGGAGAGCTCTGCGGCCTGCGACCAGCTAAGGCACGCCTAGAACGGTGACGCTCGCATACAAAAGACCCCGTGGGCTGGGGCAGCGATCCGTTGGAGATGCGCGTGCGTGGACCGGGGTGATGGGCAGCGGTGGCACGCTGCTGGCGCAGGCAGCGGAGAAGGGATGGGGAGATGGATGGGCAGGCGGAAAGCCAGCACGTCTGGCCGTAGGTCATCCCCGAGGCCCTGTGGCTGCTGCACGCTCTCTGGTGTGGTAGCTCTTGCACGTCAACCTCCGTGCGGCTAAGAACACCCTCAGGAACGGCACACGCGCTGCAGCCGGGCGGCCCCGCGAGCCAATGGCCGTCGCTGCGGTGCGTCGCCGCGATCCGGCCAACGCCACGCTGCTGGTGCTGTCTTACACGCCGGCCTGGCTTGCGTGGAGCCCAGAGCTGAAGCGTCTCGTCTGTCTGGCGCGCTGGGCGATCTAGCTCTGCAGGCGGCGGCATTGTTGCGCGCCTGCCGGATCTGCGAGCTAAGTCGAATTCTCCTTCTGCCGACCTTTCCCCGGCCGATGATGGATTTTTTGGTCCGCGTCGCATTCCACCGCCGCCCCAGCTGCGACTGCACCACCAACCACCATGGCTGCCGTGTACAAGTCGATCGCGAAGGCCGCCGGCAAGGATGAGGAGCCTGGCGCCAAGCAGAAAATCAGGAACAAGGTCCTGATCCTGAGTTCTCGCGGCGTCACTTTCCGGTATGCGCCTCCGCTCGCCGCTCTCCGCTCGCCGCGCACAGCAAAGACTGACAGCAGAACAGCCACCGTCACCTCATGAACGACCTTCACTCCCTCATCCCTCACAGCCGGAAAGACGCGAAGCTCGACACCAAGACGAAGCTGTACCAGCTCAACGAGATCGCCGAGCTGTACAACTGCAACAACATCTTTTTCTTCGAGGCCCGCAAGGGCAAAGATCTGTACGCATGGCTGAGCAAGCCCCCGAACGGCCCGACGGTCAAGTTCCACTTGCAGAACCGTATGCTGTCCTGTTTGAATGCCTACTCTATTCTAGACGCTAACCCGTAATCCAGTGCACACCATGGAGGAGCTGCACTTCACCGGCAACTGCCTGAAGGGCTCTCGCCCCATTCTTTCCTTCGATGCCAACTTCGACAAGCAGGCACATTTCAAGGTCATCAAGGAGCTGCTCCTTCACACCTTCAGCGTCCCCAAGGGTGCCCGTAAGACCAAGCCTTTCGTGGACCACGTCATGGCTTTCACCATCGCCGACGGCAAGATCTGGATCAGGTGCTACCAGATCAACGAAACGGAGGCCGGGAAGAAGCCGGGAGAGGAGGAAGACTTGGAGGTGGACGAGAAGCCCAAGAAGGGCCAGGAACAGACGAATGTGTCGCTGGTCGAGATCGGCCCCCGCTTCGTCATGACACCCATCATCATCCAGGAGTCGAGTTTCGGTGGCCCCATCATCTACGAAAACAAGGAATTCGTCTCGCCCAACCAGGTCAGACGGGATGTGCGGGTTGCCAAGGCTGAGAAGCACAACTTCCGGGCGGAGACCAAGCTCGACCGCAAGGTCAAGCACGGCGAACTTGGCCTCAGCACTCATGGCGGAAGGAAGAAGGAGGCGGATCCGCTGGATGACAAGACTCTTTTCGCGTAGTCGTCTTTATTTGTTGGAAGCACCCGCATTTTGTTTGGCGTTCGGAGCATCGAGAAGGGATACGGATATCCACGGAAAAGGGATCAGCTGGCTAGCAGTATTTTCTCAAGTAGCGGAGGCGCTGAACGACGCTGTTCAGGCATGAATGGTATGCGCGGCCGGTGCGTCATTGCCGGCCCTTCACCGACTTCCTTCATCTTTCGCTGCAGGTAGTTTGCAAAGTCTGGTGTCACACCTCCTGAAATAACGGCGTGCTGCACGCCCCTGAGCAGGAGCAGCGGCTCCAGCACGACCTGGGACGCGACGGCATTCTTCTGCCCATCCACGAAGCAGACCTCGACGTCGCGCAGCTCTCCTGCACATCTCAGGACCTCGACTAAACGGCGGACCTGTTCTCTGAGGCCTGCGTACAGCCCACTGCCACCGCAATTGTATTTGATCATTCCCGTGTAGCTGTCGACGAGCTCTACATGTAACAGGTATTTCCGGATGCGCTGGAGGTTCCGCTGAGAAAAATGATCGAGAAAAGAGTACGAAGTGTTCGGAGTGAGGCCACTAGCGGGCAGCAGCCATCTGAAGCGGAAGTCGATCCGGTTGTAGCTGACCTCGATGACGAAGATGTTCTGGCCGTAGAGCAGCTCGAGACACTCTTCGGATATCTGGCGGTTCGCAGCCAGGAGAGACGTGCAGCCGCGCAGCCATATGAGCCCGTGGTCGTGCTTGTAGGGGACACGGGCAGTGGACGGCAGCAAGTAACCGTAGATCTGGACACGCAGCTCTGCGGGCAGGCGCAGGAACGGAGAGGCGGCAGGCGTGTTCATGCTGGAGGTTCACGGAGGCGCGCAGGGTCTGTTTCGGGAGCGAGGCTGCATAGCAAAAGAGCGAAGACCGACATCTGGAATGATGGAGCTGGGGGTTGGCCAATGGTGGTGGCATGGATCGATCAGGTCGTCACTTGCGGGCCTTGGCCTGCGCGGCTTGGCCTGCGCGGGAGCTGTCGCGACCGGCCGTGCTTTAGTTATCATCGCTGCTTCTCCGCCTCCCCTCCCCATCCCTCATCACCTCCCACGCCCGCACACCATGATAGACCAGACAACGCCCGGCAGCGCGCCGGTTGTCCAGGCCTACATGACCGGGGATGCTTCATCTTCTTCCTATAGCCCCAACGCAGGGGTTTCCTGCATCTAGGCTTCCTTCGACCTTCCCCGGGACTCCGTCATCACCAGTGGCCGAGTCTCCCGCCACCTTTAGATAAATTGCACAGCATCGAACCAGCACACCACCGCCAAGAGTGAGGCACAAGAACAAAAGAAGAAGCCGTCGCCGTGCATATTCCACCTCCACACGTTCAATTCATCGTTCATCATGCTGCTCGAGTTCCTGGCCACGGAGCTCGTCGCCCAAATCTTCTTCCACCTAACCTCCATAAACGACGTTCTCGCGCTTTCGGCCACCTGCCACCGTTTCCGCAGCATCTATTCTTCCTCGCGCAAGATCCCCATCCTCGAGCACGCCGTCGACGCACAGTACGGGCCGCTGCTCGACGCCACCCAGCTGCTCACGCACAACAGCAGCCAGCCCGCCCACTTGATCCGCACCGTTCCCCTCTCCATCGCCCTCATCAAACAGCTTGTCCACGTCGGCCGCGTCGCCGAGCGCTGGGCCGACCTCTACCCGTTCAAGAAATGGAAATACAACTTCGAGGACCGGCGACTGCTGACGGCGGCGGAGCGAGTGCGCGTGCGCCGAGCCCTATACCGACTCTGGCTGTACAACCGCGCCTTCTACAACCGCGCGCACCCGCGCGAGACGCGCATGAGCCGGCCGGTGCTGCTCGAGCGCGCGGCGCTGCTGCACAACTGGAGCACCTGGGAGCTGGCCGAGATGGCCGACGCGCACGCGGTGCTGCGCGAGGTGGTGCTGGCCAACGTCTGCCCGAGCAACGGCACCATCGCGCGCCGCTTCAAGAAGCGCTTCCCCGAGCGCGACCAGACCCAGCTGTGCTTCAACATTCACCTCAACTACCCCCCGCCCGTCACCAACCCCTTCAACTCCCCCTTTCACTCTAGCCCCAACGCTCTGTCCAACTACTACCAGCACGTCGGCCCGCACGACAATCGCTTGCATTACTCAAAGTACACGGCGACGGCCCATCACGAGCCGGGCGCCGAGGGCTGGGGCGACGATATCCCGCATTACTACGTCGTGGAGGATATGATGAAGCTGGACCCGGAGCAGATCTTGTGGCTGAAGGAAAACGCGCCGCTGAAAGGTCAGGTGGAGATGTTCGTGAAGGGCTTGGGCGATTGGTTCGAGAATAACGGCGAGACGTGGAGCCAGACGCTGGCGTGGGTGCTGAACGAGCGGGGCGAGGATGTGGAGGAGATTTTGGGCGGTATCGCGGACTGCGAGTTTGGGATTGCCGTGGCTGAGGAGTGAATGTGTAGTTTTCATATATCAGCTGGTATGCCTGTGAAGTCTGTCTGAAGTGCCCACTGCGCAACTGGGGATGGGCAGTTGAAGCGTCCATGAACATAGACGCGCACAATAGTCATAAATCATATGGTCTGGGCAAGAGTTTCAGCTATCTTTGCTGGAATGATCGTTTGAGAAGCCGTTGCCATTTCCTCTCTCGGCACCTGGGACGCTGCAGGGTCACAGCAATTAGGAGATGGCGCATGCCTCAGAATGGCAAGGCCTATATATGCTTTGTAAGAACAATATGCCATCATCATCATCATCGACGACCGATCTCGATACCGCTGGATAATCTTCATCACCAAAGGCCACGCCTGCCCAGATATCACCTTTGCCGCCTCACGCCTCGCAGAGTTCACGGAAAACCCTTCGCCTAAACACTAACCTGCTTGCTACTAACGGAGTAATGTCATATCTCATTGGCACCAAAGGAACAGTTCTGGCAAGCTGGAGGGGAAAGACCAGCCCTCGTAGCTCAAATCTCCCGGCTACGTTTAGGGCTGATACTTAAAGGAGAATCTAAACAGATTGTCGTGAACGTGTTATTACCCAGCGCGGACAAAAGGGTCCCGTTGCAGGCACTTTATGACAATAGAAGCGAGTAAATTCAGCAAGTTCTTCTTTTATATGGGGAATATACATGGTGCTTCACTTCGTCGTTTCCTGAAAATTATTAGAGGAATCACAAGGACAGCCCTTGCCCTTCTAAAAGAAGGTCCTCCTCAAGGATGAAAATAATAGTTTCTTTCGTATCGTCTTACTGTACAAACCCTCGGTGGAAATACGGACATCTTGGAACAGTAGCTATTCCTCGGCAATAGCGATGCTTCACTCGTCACTGGTTCTGCTACCAGGAGGTCCACACAAATATCCCCCTAGACTTTTGATGCTCTGCTAAGCCCACAGTCGCCTTCTGCAGCACTGAAGCTTTTGGGGGTAACCAGGATCTTCAAGTGGGTATTGTCTGGTTTCTGAAGCTCCCCAAAGCCCTTCTGCACCACATCCTCTAATGATATACGTGCCGTTATCATGCAACTCACGCCCTTGAATCTGTCTGGACGGATGTGAGCTTCTGTCCACTTCTCGAGCTCATTTCGAACGAACTGACCTTCTGCAAATGCTTTAATCACCTCTGCAAAGTCTTTCTCGTTGAACGCACAAGACGAGGTGACTGTGCACTCCTTGTACATCAAAGGAGCGAATGGCACAGGAACCTACGCACCAACCAATGTCAGCAATCAAAACCACGCTCGCACACCACCATCCTCCAACCAAACTAGAACACTCACCTCGCCCGTCCACAACGCCACCACCACAACCACGCCCCTCCACCCCACACTCCCAAACACATCCCCGACCACCCTCGGACTCCCCGAACACTCAAAAACCACATCCACGCCCCTCCCGCCCGTAACCTCCTTGCACCTATCCACGACGCTCTCCCCCACCGGATCCACAACCACATCCACCACCTCCCGCACGCCGCGCGCCTCCCGCCTCGCCGCCACCGGCTCGCTCAACACCACCGTCCCCACCCCCCACGCCCTCAGCACAAACGCCACCGCCACCCCCACCGGCCCGCCCCCCACAATCAACGCGCTCACACCCTTCGCCTTCTCCCCTTCTACAACCCCGCCGTCACCACCACCAACCCACCCCGGCACCCCCACCACCCCCGCCCTCTTCACCGCATGCCACGCCACCGACAACGGCTCCACGAGCGCCGCGTCGCGCAGCAGCAGCTCGTCCTGCACACCCTTCTTCTTCTTCTTCTTCCCCGCCTGCAGCAGCCCTCCTCCCTCCTCCTCTTCCTCCTCCTCCTCCGACGACGCCAGCGACGACGCCAGCGGCGGGCGCGAAGGCAAGACGTGCACGGCGCGCGGATCGACGCGCACGCGCGCCGCGAAGCCGCCGCCCTGGACGCTGGTGCTGAAGCCGACGAAGGAGAGGCCGGCGGCGCAGCCTTGGCTTTGGGGCTCGGGTTCGGGTTCGGTCGACGCGGTGCGGCATTGCGGGCAGGAGTGGCAGATGAGGCGGGGGTCGACGAGGACGGGGGTGCCGGGGGGGAGGTGGAGGTTGGGGTGGGAGTGGGTGGTCTTCTTGGTGGTGGTGTTGGTGGTGTTGGTGGTGGAGATGCGGCCGGCGATTTCGTGGCCGAGGATGAGGGGGTGGGTGGATGTGTGGGTGGGGGGGAGGTCGAGCATTTGTTGGGGGCCTGGATGGGGGGGAGAGGAGGGGAGGTTAATTACGGCTGCTCTGGGTTCTGGGTTGTGTTGTTGGAGACGTTGTTGTGGTGGTGGTGTTTGGGGGGGAAGGGGCTAAGGCGGAGGCGGCTGGTGCTTGGGTGGTGGACGTTTTGCTGAAAGGTTGGAATGGGAAAGGCGTACCTAGATGCCACAGATGCAGGTCACTGCCGCAGATGCCGCACCATTCCACGTCTATGATGACCTGGTCGTGGCTGGGTGTTGGGTCGTCTACGTCGACGACGCGGATGTCGTCTTTGCCGTATGATCGTAGCGCTCTCATGGTTTAGTAGTGGAGTGTTTGGATGGTGGAAGTGTCGGTTGGTATCTGGCGAGATGGCTACGGGGCAATTGGTATGCTTTGTCTCGAGAGGTACACCCCGCATTTCTATATGGACACGTCAGCTTACGATCGTCCACACGCCCATCTGATACCCCGCGCCGGTAGTTGTGGGAGAGGGGTTGCGGGGGTACAGCAATGCATGGTGGAAATAATAGAAAGGACCTTTTACATCCGGAATAACCGAGGGAGCTCTAGATGTCTCGTGAGCGTCTCTCAAATGTAGGGAACGGGTTTCGAGGAATATAATGTCTACGGCGACATCATCAATAATGCTTTTCAAAAGCGACCGAGACTAGCATGTGGGTCAAAAAAGAAAACTGGAAATCGTATTATGTAGGGTTCCATTTATCAAAGGCACATCTTCCATACATGGCATCGAAAGCGATCACATATTGCCTCTTGGACCCATAATAACGGGATCCTGCCAAAGTGTTGCAGGTCAAGCGCAACTTCTCTATCATCGGTCTAAGCCAGGTGGAAGTTGAAATCTATTTACTAGCTCATTCGTATTGCCGGTAGTCTTGACCAGTATCTGTGGTTGGATGTTAGCAAAGAACGGGACGAGAAGCGGCAACGAATTTTTCTCTCAAGTTCAAAGGCTCTGGGCCGCCCCACCTGGAATGGCTCCCAAGCCCCGAGCTTCCCCGCAGCTCCCCCACCACAACAAAGACATAACCACACATGCCCTACATAAACCCTCTTGTAATATTAGAGAACGCGATGCGCTGAACGCACCGAACAAACTTCCAACTCGAGTCTATTCAGCGTTGCTTCAATATCTCCTCTTGAAGTGATTTCGGCCTACCAGGCCTCATTCAGCCAAAACAACATCACCACGTCATTTTCTCGCGGGAATTGAGTAGAACAAAAAGCAAAAGAATACGATGCGCCGACCGGGAATCGAACCCGGCTCTCAACCTAGTTTTAATCCAGAAGTCTCTGTGCACTTTGAGAATTCAGAGCCGGAATGCTTCATGGGAAGGGTGGGAAGGTTGAATCATAACCACTAGACCATCGGCGCGTTGGTTGACAATAGACTAGGGCAGCAGTCGTTATGATGTGCACGCAAAAGCGGTCTGCTACTTTGTGAGCCGGCTTCGGTGGTGACAAACGCTGGATACTGATGGGAAGAGCATGCTGTAAAGTTGATATTGCTGTTTGTTCTTTGAATGGCGGCGAGATGGCTGTGTGAGGAGCGCGGGAACAATGACATAGCCGTGTGTCTTCATACAGACCTTATTATACATGCAGAGCAGGCCTGCACACTTTAAACGAGGGTTCGATGCTGTGACGGGGGCGTAAGTCTTATTGCATGCTCACTGCTGAAGGCTTTGCCGTGCCTGGATCTGGAGAAAGACGACAGATATGAGAATCTGGAGGTTGCGTGTGGTATATAGAAATTTTTTGTGGCGACGGGGAAACGGGAGAAGAGCGGTGTTCCGTCCGATGCACTTTCAGGGGCGGCAGCCATTTGAGCGTTGCGCAACACCGTGGGCCAAAGGTTTGTGAGGGACGGCGACCGCGAAGCGTGTTTTTAGAGTGGGTGTTGCATGCTTGGTGTAGACAGAAGACGTGACTTGACGTTTCCGGAAGAGCCATGCGCTCGGCCCAGCTGCAGAGATTTGCGGAACAACTGCGTCATTCCGCAACAACTCTCTACTGATTGGCTGGCCTGATGTATAAACGACGACGTGCTGTATCTGGCAGGGCCGTGTGGTAGTGATTTACTGACTGCGCCTGAGCCGCTGCTTGAGCACAATCAACCGCTGAGCTCGAATCAGACACATGCTCCGAACTCTAACGACGTCGACATCTGGCTCCTCCAACTCCTCTCCTTCCAATAATTGAGAGCGCAACAGCACAAACGGGACCACGCTCACTTTCCAACTTTCCGGTGCACGGGCCACCGAAGATGGAGGGGTGCATCATCGTCACCCAAGCTCGCAACACCAGAACCAACACCAACATCCCGACCTTTGCCGCCTCGCCACCGCACTGACAACCCCGCCACCACCCACCATGGCGTCGAAACTCGAGAAAACGATAGCGCGCCAGCAAGAAAAGTGAATCCCCGCCCGAGTCCCCGCCGTCACACAGGACCGTGCAACTGACCCGACCACTCGCGCCACAGGATCGCCGAGGGCCAATTCTACGAAGCGCACCAACAGCTGCGCGTCATCGGCACGCGCTACGTCAAGCAGTCGAACTGGGACGCCGCCATCAACATCCTCGCGTCGGGCGCCCAGCTGCTGCTGCAGGCGGGCCAGGGCGGCAGCGGCGGCGACCTGTGCCTCTTCCTGCTCGACGTCTACAACAAGGCCGAGACGAAGCCCGACCCCGCCGCCAAGGCGAAGCTGCTGGGCCTGCTGCGCAGCTTCCCGCCCGACGAGCCCACCAAGAAGAGGTTCATCGGGGAGATGATCGGATGGTCGGCCAAGTTTGGCGAATATCCCGCCGGAGATCCGGAGCTGCACCACGTCGCAGGCACAATACTCGCCCAAGGTAAGCCTCCCCGCGCCTGTCGAACGCGGCACGCTGTCCTGACCATGTGCGTCTCGCAGATGGCGACGCTTACGACGCGGAACGGCACCTCGCCCACGGCACGCGCGACTCTCCCGAGCACCTGGTGAAGCTCGAGTACGAGTGGTACAGCGAAGACGACGTGCACACGGCGCCCCTCTACGCCGCCCGCGCCGTGCTGCCCTACCTGGTCGCCGGCAACGTGCGCGCCGCGAACCAGTGCTTTCTGCAGTTCACCACGCGCCTCTCGCGCGAGAACCCGTCGCTCGGCGTGCAGGACGTCAGCAGCTCGAGCCTCGACCTCCGCATATACCCCTCGCTCCCTCTCCTCAACTTCCTCGGCCTGCTGCTGCTCGCCATCACGCGTGGCAGCGCCGACCTTTTCAGAATGCTCAGGAGCCACTACAAGCCACATCTGGATCTGGTGCCTGGCTGGAACGATGCGCTGGATCAGATCGGCGAGATGTACTTCGGCATCAGGATCCCCAGCCAGAGCAACCCGCTCATGGACATGATGAGCAGCATGTTCATGGGCGGAGGCGGTGGGGCGGCACAGAAGCCCAAGTCCAAGCGAGTGGAAGCGCCAGCACCGGCGCCAGGGCTAGACTAGAAGACGGTTGCCATGGGAAGAAGGCTACCTAGGGATTGGGGGAAAAAAGGAATCGTAATATCATGACTATAACCTGAGAACTCCGACACAGAGCCCGGGGGTATCTCTCATTTCTCCTTTTGCGCCCAGAAAATGCCATGCTCATCAGCCATCAAACGCAGCGTGAAGTTTATTTTGCTCGCTGAAATCACGACGGCACCGGATCGTCGCCCTCGAACATCCACTGATCCTCGTCCAATGACTCCACCTTCGCCTGCAAGCTGGCCTGCAGCGTGGCTCTGAACTCTGCCATTGCTCCATCCGTCAGCCAATTCGACGTGCTCGCCCCCCCTTTCTCTCCAGGGAGCAACCTTACCATTGGGCTCGATATGGTGCTGATGCTTCCGGTACGTCTCGATCAACCTACTTTCCACCTCTATTCCGCCCCGCATCAGCGTCGGACAAAAACACGCGCCCGCCAAAAAAAAAAAAGAAAAAGAAAGAAACACACTCACCTCTCTCCTCCCTCAGCTCGTCCCTCGGCACGGGGTTCAGATACGGCATCTCCAGCCGATAACTCCCCTCCGCATCGCGCGCCACAATGTCCCGACATTCCCCTTCCTCGCCATCGACGACGCCCCCATCAACGTCGCCGTCATCGCCATCGCCGCCATCGACCCTGCGCCGCCGCCCACCACCGTCGTCGACCAGGTGATGTCCTCTGCCACCCCCTCCCCCTCCTCCGCCTCCCCCTCCTCCGCCTCCGCCTCCACCGCCATTGCCGCCGCCGTTGCCATTGCCGTTATTATGCTCCAGCTGCAACGTCGTCGCCGACGTCGCGCTCGTGCTGGAGGGCCCGCCGCCGGTGCCGATGGTGGGTGTCGCCGCCGCAGCCGCCGCCGCCGCCGCCGTCGTCGTCGTCGTTGTCGGGGGCCGCCGCGAGAGGTGGCTGCTGAAGAGGTTGCGGCGCATGCCGGAGGCGGTGGTGGTGCGGTAGGGCGGGGGTGGGGGGCGGCGGGAGGACATTGTTGTTGGCGGTGTTTTGTTGTTTTGATGTTGTTGTTGTTGGTTTGATGTTGTTGTTTTAGTGCTGTTGTCGGGATTGTGATGGCTTTTTTTGTTAGGTAGGTAGTTTGTTTTGAGGGCGGGGGTCGCGTGGGGTTTCGTTAGGGTGCGGATGCGGATGGGATGGATGGATGGGTTGCTTATAGGTAGGAATTAGCGGTGCGGGTAGGGCTGAGAGGGAAGAAAGAGATATGCGGGTGAAATGCATGCAGCATGGCAACGGGCATGTTTATTTAGATAGAGCGAGCGCCGCGGGGGCAGCGGCGGGCGGCGGGCGGCGGGCGGGCGGTCATGTTCGGCAGAACTCTGGAAAGGCATGACGTCGGGGGATTGGCGCGCTTCGTGCTCCCGTCCTTAGGGTCCAACCAAACCATCTCAAAGACGCGCACGCGCCGAGTCGCGACGGTCCTTCAACACCGACACCGCTTTTGTCCGTGGTCGGCACGCCAGGACAAAATGAGCAGCCCGCACGCGGACGGCTCCGCCGAGAGTGTCCCTCCCGCTGCTTACTTCCAGATTGATCCCAGAGTTAATGGCGATGCCTTCTCTGGAAGGCCCAGGAACATTCATCGTCCCGAGGTACACATGACCGACCGCTCCTCGTTCTTAACGCTGGAATCATCCAACTAACTACCCCCGCCTGCATTGCAGGAGATTGCCGAGTTCTCCTACGATGAGAACCACGACATCCACCTTGATGCGCGCTCCCTGAGCTATTATTATCCGCCCCAGCCCCGTGGTGTTGAGAACCACATTTACCTCGACAAGGGCCTCGAGAGTTTCCGCCAGCTCGACGACTCCCAGGACGGCCACCTCAGCGGCCTGCTCACTGCCATCATGGACATGGAGCAGAAGCAGAACGCAAAGACTGATGCCCACTTCATCGCCTACCGCGGCATGATTGCGAACGTGAGCATGCTCGTGCAAGCTCTGTCAGCGAACTCGCCGCTGACCTCAGTCGATGCAGCTACTTACCATGCCTTACCAAAAGATAGATGGGTGGACCATGAATGCCACGTATTTCGATGTGGGCTTGTCTTGCCCGTGACTTGAAAGAATAGCTAACAGACCGTAGGGTACGATGTAAGTACAGCTACTTTTATAACCGTCTTCAGCACTCCATCAACCGTTGAATGCCCGCTCTCCCGTACTGGCTTCTCACCATGCCTTACAGCTTCATCGAAGAGGACAAGGGCGCCAAGTTCGAAAGGAAGGCCCGCGAAGAAGACCAATCACCCGCACAGAAACGCAGGGAAACGCTGCAGTACTACTATGGTCAGCTCGCAATAGCGCTCCTCCTCCTTTTGCTCCCACTTGTTAATGGGCGTCAACAGGCTTCAAGTTCGAGACCCTTTACACCATCCCAGACATCTGGGACAATGTCTCCCGTGACGAGATCGAGAGTCGCGATGACAAGATTGTGAGCAACTACGCGCAGTACTGCTCCATCGTCAAGACCGGCGTTGGAGATATGAACATTGTCATCGGCGGAGAGGTCGACTGCAGTATGTCCTCAGCTAACCCTCATTCCACACTTTGATGGTGCTGACAACATGCAATCAGTCTGGGACGACAAGATCCCCGGCGCAAAATACCACAACTATGTCGAACTTAAAACTACCGAATGGATCGACGAGGCCCACCTGCCCCGTGGCGAGATCAAGAGAAAACTCCTGAACTATGACCGCAGAAAGATCAAGTACTGGGCCCAGTCCTTCCTCATCGGATGCCCGACAATCATCGTCGCCAAGAAGGACACCGACGGCCAGGTACACATGCCGCTCGAAGTGTTCAAGACGAACAGCATACCCACAGCCATCAGGAACACCAGCGGCCTCTGGAACTCGGTCGTCTGCGTGCAGACGCTCAGCGCGTTTCTCGAATGTGAGTCATCTCCGTGGCGCTCCAGCCGCCGCCTCTGGCGATTCGACCGTCTCGTCGTATTGATATAACGCTTCCATGCGACTGGCCGTCTGGGTTAATAATCATCTTTCCAGGGTTGCAATCATACATCAAGGGTTCGACTGGCATGTGGAAGCTGACTAAGAAGCCCGGCATGGCACCCATCTGCCTCAGTCACTTCACGCCGACGGGCACTGGCCAGATCTTGACTCCCAGTTTCAAGGCCCATCGCATTGCTATGCAGGCGGCGCGTGTCAGCAGGTCTCCGTCGGCCGAAGGAGAGCATGTTGGCGAGGAAAAGGACAAGATGGATACGGATGAGGTTGAGAAGCGCCCGTCGGCCGAAGGTGAGCATGTTGGCGAGGAAAAGAACAAGATGGATACGGATGAGGTTGAGAAGCGCCCGTCGGCCGAAGGTGAGCATGTTGGCGAGGACAAGGAGAAGATGGATACGGCTGAGGTTGAGAAGCACCCGTCGGCCGAAGGTAAGAATGGTGACGAGGGTGGCGATACGATGGATATGGAGGCTTGAACAGAAGATGTCCTATAGGACTGGAGGTCGGCATTCCAATGGTTCAAGGGAAAAATAACACCCATGTATTCATCCAAGGATCAGGTGGGATTGACCACTTTTTCCATTTGGCTTCTCATAGATTCTGGATAAGGTCACAGACAATGGACAAAGCTCATTGATTCTTCTTCTCGAAACTGCCCATGGGAGATGCGGTGCTCTAGTTGCGTATTGAAGTTTACTCTGGGTGATTTTCGTGCATTTTGAACTTTACGCTACTTTCTAGTATCTGTCTTTACTGTACATGTAGGAAGTGTGCAACGCATGTTAATGTCTTTGTCTAACCGGCCAACCCATACACTTGCGTAGATGGAGAACCATCGTGAGAGAAAGAAAGAAAAAGAAAAAGAAAAACTTTCCTTCTGAACTGCAATCCCCGGCTACCGTGTGATCCCTCCCTTCGCCAGTTACACCTCATCCTCACCGCCACAACCCCGGCTAGTGGGAACGGAGAAAGAGATAACACCGAACGAACGACAACGACGACGACGACGACGACTACCTGTCGATACAGCAGACCGGTCGGGCTAAGCGAGCAATAAAAGCCTCCACGGATCTACGGTTTCTCATACAAAACCGAGCGACTATCGGAATATATGCCCGCCGTTCTTATAGGGGCCGTACACATCTCGCTTCTGTAAGAGTTTTACGGTTGTAAGTATGCTTCACTTCGCTTATCACCGTCGATGAGAGAGAGAGAGAGAGAGAGAGTCAGCGGAAAAGAATGTGGTTGGGCAGGAAAAAGGGGCCGGGGGTGGGTGAGGCGAACATCATGATCCGCAAACAGGAATGCGTACACACGTGCAAGCGAACGGCCTCGTCAAGAAAGGAAAGAGAATGGCTCAAGCGGAATAGAATGAGAGGGTGGGGACTCCCGACGATCTGAATGCCGCGTGTTCTTCGTACAACGTCGTGCCGGAGAAAAAAAAAAAAGAGAGACAGAGAGACAGAAAAAGAGAGACGAATGTACGGAAAAGTCCGTTTCGGCATGGAGAAGAAAGTATAATCCGTACTTAGCGAACGTTGACAAGAGGTATGTGCGGGCGAACGTTGGACGGGCATTATTTTTTTTTAGACGATATGACGATCAGACAAGGGATCAGCATTGCGTGGTTTCTATGTATGGCAACAACGGGCGTAGATCCCCTCTCCCACTCTCATTTTCCCTTCCTCCTCCCGCCCCCTTCCCCCCCAAAGAAAACCTAGTGGTCCAAGCCCGCCGCACACGCGTGCGTTCGGTCGGGCGGAAGGGAGCGAGACAGAGCGGACGAGTACACGCGGCTATGCTACGCGCGCGCGGACCTCGAGCGCCTGCACCACCACCAACCCC